AGGTTCTGAACATTAATGCAGATAGTCAGTTATGTAATTTTATTTGTTAAACTAACTCAGAATGGAAAATAGTGAATTAGAATGGATTTAAGTTATGTATTTTGAATGGATTTAATTCATGTTATTTCAAGTTACACAGTGATGAACAAATTTTGTTCGGACATACAGTGCTAACAGGATCATTATTGTTTGACAAAACAGTTATGAACAAAATACATTTTTTCGGCTACACAGTGATGAACAAATTGTTTTGGGCTACATTCAGAATTCTAATGGCGATTCAAACGATGATTATGTTTTTCCTCATCTTGCAAACGGTTATGTAAATCCCGTAGAAATTGGAGTATCTTCGATTGATCTCGGCGATGACGAAGATGCAAAAAGCAATGAAGAAGATGATGATGAGAGGATGGGAGTCGTCAGAATGCTCCGTTGACAGCCGAGACGGCAACGAGAGTGATGGTGGGTTGGGGTCCAAGAATTCTATACTGGACCAAAGCTCCAAACTCTGAAGATTGGGTGAGTCAAGGAAGAAGAGGGATGAAAAATTAGGTGGGTGTGCATTTCATTGTGAAAATATTATGAATATGGATAGATTTGGTAATAAGTGGGGTGTCCAAAAAAATATTATTAAAATTTAGGATTTAGGGTTGGGGTCCAAAGAAATGGGGGGTCCAAAGAATTTTGGTAAGTGCTAATTGCAGCACTCTATTTGAATCACCATTAATAGTATGTTAGATTACCCATAGAGGCAGGGCGGCCAATATTTTTAGAATAATGTTATACAAATAAAAAAATTGTACAAAAAAATTTCATATAGAATAACCTGACAAGTGTTGATATTATAACTTTAAAGCAAAAAGTCTATTAAAATGGATTAAATGTTTAAAAAATGTTACCGCCATATCTTTCTAGTTAATAGTCATATATTACATTCTACACAAAAACCTATAAGATTATAATTTTCCATATTAAGAAAATTAGATTGTTTTCGATTGATATTTTTTGATTGGAAAAGGCTAAGCTCATTTGAAATCTCACACTAGAAAACATGCCATGCTTGCTCCCCGTTATCGTCCAATTATCTACACATTGTACTGTTAACAAGGACAAACCATGGAGGATCAAAACAAATGTTAAGAGGATCATTGCACTATAAATGCCGAACAACCATTGTTTGAAGGTTAATTTTGTCTATAAAAAACTAATGAAACTTGAAAAGGTAAAAAAAAGAGGATTGCTATTAGTACCTACCTAATTTATTTGGACCCTCACTTCTTTGAACCCCTACGCACACTACTACAAAATCATAAATAGATCACGAATTTGAAGTATGATGTATATTTTTTAATCACGGATTTTTTTATTTAGTTAAAGTGTGATATTTGAGAGTGTGATTGTTAAGGTTTATTTTCGATCACACTTTTTGACCGTTATTAAAAAATAATTCCATCACGTGTTTTGACCGTGATAATAAATATTTAGATCATGGATTTTAAGTGTGATTAATAACCAATAAAACCTGAAATTGAACTTAAATAATCCGTAATTTATAATAATAAGATAAGATCATGGTTATATGCATTTCTCATCACGGTTAATGTGTGTGATAAAAAAAATAGTCCAACCACAAAATGTGACTATCAATCATAGTATATAAACCGTGATTAAAATCAAAATATAACTAATATCTAAAATATAATCAATATTATTTGCACAAATAATTCCTTTGAATCACAACATTGACCACATATGAATAGCTAATAATCTCATATATTTCATAAATGAAAGTCGAATGTTGGAAAAATATATACATTGAAAGTTAAAGAATAAAAGGTTTTTGACATTAATTACACAATAAAAATCTAATCAAAAAATGAAAAAAATTAAAGAAAACTCAAAGTTCTTTAATGTTCCGTTTTCTTTGATCATATTTCACATATCTCCAAGCAATTTTTGACCTAAATAAAAATAACACAAATTAGTTCAAAAGCCGCTAGAAGTATATGAATAAACTTACACATTTTTTTATTATTTAAAAACAAAAATAAAAAATTAATGGATATCCCACTTGCAACTATCAAGCCAAAGCTCGAGAGGTCCAGCCTATATTTTTTTTTTCATTTCAACCACAATAAGAAAGAGAATGCAATTGATAAAATCAATGGTTCAATTGTTCAGACACCTAAAAATCCAAACATAGCTTCTATTAACAATGTTTTAATTTAATATCATTTTCGCTAGTGTGTACTCAGTCCATGACCTGGTGACTAATTTACACAGGTCAGGTGTGTAAGAACCTGAATATACAAATAAAACAAATAATTAAATAATAATTATTTTACAAACCTCAAATATTTTAAACTCTAGACCACAAATTTGACAAATAAGGCTCTTACCATTTGAGTTGCATACAACATATATAAACATTTTGTATATTATTTATTTATTTGACCTGCACATGCATTGGGTGTGCACACCACTAGTATAAAATAAAATAAACACAGACCCTACCCTCTTATTTGTTCTCCACAAGTTAGCAGCAGCCGTGAGGGAGAAAAAGGGAGAGAGAGAGAGAGAGAGAGAGAGAGAAGAGATTGGAGAGAAACGTTCGGCAACATTGGTGGTCAACAATTCTAAGGTATTGTCCTATTTTATTATATTTATATATTGTGATGGTTCATGTGTGTAACCTACTTGTTGTTGGGAAGGAATAGAAGAAATAGATGTTTTGTTTGGTTGCCAAGTCAGTGGTTGGTGATGAGAAATAATTGGTGTAATTCTTAGTCCAAAAATTCTGTATACAAACACAAACTTTAAAAATCAAGAAACCTTATTAAATGTATGAATTTTGAACTGAAATTTTTACAGTAGATTAATTACTTATTGAATTGCATACCAGAATTTTCTTATAATTTTTGGGAGTCAAAATCCATATAAACTGATGCGTTCAAATCTGTCCAGAAAACTAGTACAAAACAATAACTTCGGAAGTGTTGTTCTCTTTGGTTATAAATTCGAAAATTTTCAAATCAGCATCATTAGAACCGGCTGCGAGTCTAGTTTCTTACATTTTTAGCTTTGCATTGATTGCTCGGGTATACTAAGAACCATTAATTTCTTTAAAGTGCTGCAAAAATTGACCTGTTCGGATATAATTAATTGTAAATAATTGTTTTGATAAGCAAATTGAGTAAAACCAATTGAGTTTGAAACTTAGGATATATTAGTTGATATCTGGAGGGTTTTGGAATTTTTCGAACAGAATGGAGTGGGTTTTTAATTTTCAAAGTTAGCAAATAGATTGGGAAAACTTGTTTAAAATTTTGTTTATCTTAAAGTTACTTTTAATTAAGTTTTGATCTGAACCCATATCTTGGGTAATTTGAGACCTTGAAGAACATGAACTTAGGTATTATTTAATAGTAATGGTGAGTTTGGTTGAGCCGTGATAGTACGCTTTAGCTTAAGATTACTTAGTTTCTTATTTATATATATATATATATATTTTTTCAAATTAGTAGTGACGTGTAGTTTTTATACTTTTGGTTTTGGGCACTAGTTGGACTTTCACATTCTATACGGGGATTATATTATTCTGTTTTTAGGTGAGTAGTTGCATGCTTACATGTTTTATAAATGTTTCCCTACCCTGAACTGTTGAAAAATTAAATTGTTGTTTTAGAACTAAACTGTTTTCATAAATTATTATAATATCAATGGAATTAAATTATTCCTAAAACATGTGTAAACTTGGCATACTGTAAGCTATTTGTTATGGTCTTATGTTTATAATGGTGAACTACCATGTTTTGCGAAACTGAATTGTATTGATTATTGGGACCATCTGTATATAAAAGTCCAAGGAAATTATTCCATTGTGTGCGGTGACTCTAGCCACTAGGGAACGGATTTGGGTTGGGCTATGATGACTCTAGTGCTCAACAATTTTAAGGAAAAGACCTGGACTAGACTAAGCGACCTTCAATCAGATTGTTTTAGAGAAAAGGCCGGAGTTGGCACCCTGAGGATGACTCTTGGTTCAATATTGGATCCAACGGGCTTATTGCCTTGAAAACTATGTGGAACGTTACTTCTTATTCTTGGGCTTATTGCATGTTACTTGTTATTCTTAGTACCTAGAAAATTATTGATGATCATGTTGTAATCAGTTTTAAGTGGAGAATGTCATATGTTATGTTCTTAAGAGAAACAAGTATTTTAATTGTTGAATTGTAGAGCCTTCTTTTTGAAACAGATTGTCTTTATCAAAAATGTATGTCAATCTAGTTTTTATGATATATATATATATATGTTATTTTAGAATTGAACCGTGCTTTCAAAACTGTATTCACTATCCATGTTTTTACTTACTGAGCTATCAACTGACTTAGTTGTTTATCATTTCCAGGTGTTAGAAGGACTTAGAGTGAATTCATGGCGTAGTGGGGACTCAATTGCATGCACCTCTAGGACATTCATTTATTTTGTTTTAGCTTGTTATGTCGAATTTTGTACATACATTGTGATTGAGTTTTATTTAAAATTATTTTATTTTGTGGGTGGTTTGTCTCCCATTTAGTATATATATATATTTTGGGAAGTTGGTTATGGCTTGTTTTGCCATGCATACTTGTGGCATGTCATGGGATTGAGTTTTGATTTATTTATTACTGGATTATTGTTACATGTATTGTATGTGATTATGGGCCACAGCCAGTCATGCCTAGGTTTGGGGTGTGACAATGTGTCTTGTTTTATGAGTTAGAGCAGTCCACAAAGCACCAAAGCAATAACCAATCAAAGCAGTAACCAATGAGTGTGTGTTTAATGGAGTTCAACGCCAGTATGATGTGCTGTGTGAGTTGATCAAAGTGAAGGTTTCTTTGTAGACTAAATATCATTTTTCTTAGTGTGTGTGCAATGGTGGTTAGGTACAAGCATCCAACAAAGAAAAAACAGAGCAAGTCCAACTCCATCTAAAGCCGAAGGACTCTAACTACTGCTAAATGGCGCAATGTAAATATATTGGTCATCAAATTACCATAATATCATATTAAATTCTGGCGGATTAAAAATAAAAGGATTCCCAAAGATGGAATCAATTCCAATTACTCTAGGTCCTAAATGTCAGCAGAGTCCATATCAAATACAATAAAATGGCATGTGCATATATTTACTAACAAGATAGATAAGAGTACTACCAGGTTTAGATGATGAACATGTGACTAGACTTTCAGTTCAATAAGGAATTCCTTTGAAGCTTGCATATCCATCTTCTTGATTGCAGCTTTCTGCACCCAAGGGAGCAATTGAGAAAGATAATATAGATACTTAACTTCAGAAATCAACATAGCACTCTCAGGTATCAATCAATAATGGTCCATGACAAAATTTAAAAACACACATATAGTCTTTAGTCAAATGAAAATGACAAAGGAAAGAACAATTGCACCTATGCAGCTGAAATTTGTCATTATTGGAAAAATATATATATATATATGTGCAGTTTTTACTTTCTGTACTTTAAGAGGATTGTATCCAAATAGACAAATTGAAGGAGAGAGAATAAGGGCTAATTTGACATGAAGCAAGTATTAATTTAAAATCTTACTAAATAAAAACTCCAACTATAATTAACTTATGAATTTTCCTTTTATAGCTATAACTCATTCATCAACCTCAAAGTGCTCACACCACACTTGTAAATTAAAAATCACAAAATGGCAAATAATTCTAATCATAAGAACCTTAAAAAAAAAAAAAACAAAATAAAGAAAAAGAAAAGAGAAGAGAAAAGCAAAATGCAATGGCCTTTACATACAAAGATGTAAGATGAAGGATGATGTTATCAGTCAAAATTACTTTGATGAGCCCAAACACTTTCCAGAATTTGTTCACTATGAATTAAACTACTCCATCTAAATTACATTATTAACCTTCCCCAAACTATGAACTTTTAATCAATGAATTCTAAACCCACTTCTTGTAATGATATTTCATACCAAACAAAAGCAAAAATAAATAAATAAATGAAACAACAAAATGATTTTGATCAGCCCAATACAAAAAAACACACAATAAGAAATCAAATGTGTTCTTCATGAGTTAAACTACTCCATCTAAATTAAGTTATAAACCTTGCTCAAACTATGAACTTTTAAATCAATGAATTGTAAACCTACTTCTTGTAATAATATTTGGAGGATTCAACCTGAAGCATCATACCAAACAAAACCATAAAAAATTAAAAATTAAAAAAAAACAGCAGAATAACTTTGATCAACTCAATACAAAAATCTCACAATAAGAAATCAAATGTATTCCCTACAGAAACACTTCCAAGAATTTGTTCCTTGTGAATTAAACTACTCCATTTAAATTAACTATAAACCTTGCTCAAACTATGAACTCAATAAATTGTAAACCCACTTGTAATAATATTTGGAGGATTCAATATCCATCAGCATATTTCTTTTTGACACCCAAATAGATGCCATGTTGGCTGTTGTCAGGGTAATAGCAAACACACGCAAAAGCGATTTTTTTTTTTTTTTTTTTGATCGGCAAAAGAACTTTATTGAATTAGAATCAAGGATAAAACCTTACATCAGACATCAATAAAAGACAAAACCTAGTAGGTACTATAAGCATCAAAGTGAAGGACAGTTATCCCAACAAGGTTGGCACAAAAGAACTCATCCAATCATATTCAACACCTACAAAACAAGGCTGAGGAGGGGTCAACCAGACAGAAGCAAAAGCACAGAGACCCAACAAGCTAGCTACTCAAACCCCTTATAGCTTTGATCCTAAACACCAAGCCAGAAACAGAGTAATTCACCCCTTTGACATGGTATTTAACCCATAAGGTTATATACAATAAAATAGACTCACACAAACCTTCCCAGATAATACCACGACCGGCAAACTTGCACCTAATTCTAGCCTTCCATAAATTCCATATCACAGCAGCTGGAATTGCACCCCAATACTCTTTTCCAACTTTTTGAATTTGAATCCATCCCGCTCCAACAACTGGCTCACAGATTGAGGAACCACCCATATAATACCCCACCATGACAAAAGCTCTGTCCAGATCTTCCAAGCAGACCTGCAATGAAGGATCACATGGTTCACATCTTCATCACAAGAGTTACAAAAAATGCATAACGGGTCTACAGTAGGATCAAGAGCACCAATGCTATGAAGAAACACTGAAGTTTTTAGTTTTCCTTTCCAAGCTAGCCAACAGGTGAATTGCATCTTAGAAGGAGCAATGTTCGTCCATATCGCTCAAGGAACAGAAAGCAATGGACCAAGAATGAGATTGAACTGATCATAAACTGATTTCACAGTGAACAACCCGGAACCTTCAGCTTTCCAAACCAGTCTGTCATCATCTGATTCACTCAGTACAAGGCTACAATGAAGTAAGTGAATAAGTTGAAAGCATTCATCCATTTCCCAAGCAAACAGTTGCCTGCGAAAAGAGAAATCCCACACACCTAGAGTAGATTTTCTTCTGTAGAACTCAAACACCGTACCCTCATTCTCTAATGACAAAGAAAACAACCTCAGAAATAGCTCTTTCAAGCTACCTTCCCCAATCCACCTGTCAATCCAGAATCAACACCTTCTCCCATTACCAAGATGAATACTTACATTCGACTGGTATAAAACAAGAGCGCTAAGGTTAGAAAATGCTGCAGACAAAATGTCCTTCCAAACTCTTGAGACTTTGGTTTGAGGATCAAAAGATGGGAACCAATCATTAGTAGCATAGTTATATTTGCTGCATAAAATATCCTTCCATAAAACCCTATTAGCACACCCGAATCTCCACCACCATTTGACAAGGAGGCATAAGTTCATAACACTCAACCTTTTGATAACCAGACCCCTTGCATCCCTCCTTCTAGTAACATCACTCCACTTGACCATGTGAATTTTCCTCTTTAAATCAGAACTTCCCCACAAAAATTTAGCTTGAATACTTTCAAGTTCTTTAATCATAGAGGCAGGCATCTTGAATAAGGATAAGTAATACACCGGCAAGCTGGACAATACTGATTTTATGAGTGTTAGTCTACCCCCGAATGATAAGTGTCTTCTCTTCCAATTTGCAAGCCTCACCTTGAATTTCTTGGCAATAGGGTTCCAGGTAGACTTTAATCTAGGACTTGCACCAAGAGGCATGCCTAAAAACATGAAAGGAAGATGGAAGTACCTTCTTCAGTCTAGAGGACAACACCTTGGCTAGGATTTTATAGATTGACCCAATTAAACTAATAGGTCTGTAATCAGAAAGACTACAAGGGTTATCATTCTTAGGAATTAACGCTATAAAGGAAGAGTTCAAACCAGAAACTAGTTTGCTGTGGTCGAAAAATTCCTTAAAGAACTGCATCACTTCTACCTTCATAAACTTCCAACACTTTTTAATACCCAATAGATTAAAGCCATCTGGCCCCGGGGCTTTGTTCCCATCACAAGACTTCAGAGCACTCCATACCTCAGCTATGGAGAACTCTTTTTCTAAGTCTGCTACAGCCTGATAGTTAGAAATAGTTTGGAACCCACCTACTAATTTTGGTCTCTTCTTCCAACTTTCAGAGAACACCCCCTTAAAGTGGTTCCCCACAGCATTTTTTACAGGCACTGGGTCCTCAAAAGACACACCATTCACCACAACTGAATTTAATAAGTTAATGTTGTGCCTGCATTTGACCATTATGTGAAAGAACTTGGTGTTTCTATCCCCTCTCAAAGCCCAATCCTGTCTAGACTTCTGAAGCCAAAACCAATCAATCTTTTTGCTCAGTCTCCAAACCTCCCCTTTAAGCTCTGTTCTTCTGCTACTTTCAGAATCTAGCAACAATCTGGATTCAGCTAGCAAGTCCAATTTGTGTAACTCAACCTCAACCAGCTTCAACTGACTATGAAGATTACCAAACCCAGATATATTCCACTCTTTTAAAGCCCTCTTCAGGTGACCCAATTTGCTAAATAATCTGAACCCTGCCCACCCATCAACCTGCACCTCCATCCAGGATTTCTCAACAAAAGCCAAAAAACTTGGATGGAGAACCCAACAATTCAAGAATTTGAAGGGCTTTGGGCCCCAATCTCTACTATCCTCCGTTAAAACAAGAGGGCAGCGATTAGATAAAATTCTAGGCAAACCCCAACACTTGTAATCAAATCTTAACAGCCAATTTGAATCCACAATAAATCTATCAATGCGGCTTCATCTACCTTCCTCTCTAGAATCACTCCAAGTAAATTTTCTACCCAGCAATGGCAGCTCCTCCCCTTCCATATGATCAATGAAAACGTTAAAGTCATTCATTCCCACATTTCTCCTAGAGCTTCCCACCCTTTCCCCTAAGTGCCTGATTTCATTAAAATCCCCACCCATACACCAAGGGTTGGGAAATGAAGGCTTAATTCTAGCTATCAAATCCCAGAGGTCCCTTCTAATGGTTACTTCATTAGGAGCATACACATTTAACACCACACAATCAAAATCTGGCATGATCTTCCCAGCTAAGAGAATAAAATTTCTGGAGCAGCAACAATCAACTAATTCAAACACAGCAGGATTCCAAATGCACAATAGGCCTCCTGCACTCCCACAAGCACCCACTTCCATGAACTCGAAATTAACCTCTGGCCAAATTGATCAAACAAGGTTCAGATCAAAAGCAGCCCGTTTTGTTTCTTGCAAAAGCACCATATCCACCTTATTCTCTTTGATGATTTTCTTTATTTTTCTCCTTTTCACCTCCCTACCAAACCCTCTAATATTCCAAGACAAGATCTTCATAACAAAAGATTTAAGCAACCACTTTACACCCAAGAAAAAAAGAATTACCTGGCTTTTGATTTCTTCCTCTGCTCCACCCTCTCAGCATCCAATTGTTCGAGCTCAATAATCTTCTTTAGTACTTCATCTTCTTGGATAATTTGGCCTTTACTTGGACCTGCATGCGAAGCTGAAGCCAGAGAGAAAGCTGCAACTGCAGCTCTGAGTGTTGCCCCTTTCTGAGCTCTAGTTTTACGATTTTTGACCCTTTGACCCTGAGATTTGTTCTTGCTCTTCCCTTTTTCTGAAATGCGTGGTGCTTTGCTTCCACCCTTACCCATCCCTGAGTCCAGCCCCTTGAGTAATTTTGGTGATTTGGAACACATGCTTGAGCTGCTGGATATGTCATCATCTTGAGAGCGAATTTTTGCCCTAACATTTGCCAACCCACTGACCTCCCCTGTATATACATTCCGAATGCCCACGGAGGCATCTCCACTATCTTCCACAGGCCCATTAACCATCAGTCCATTACCCTCCATTTCCTCAATTAAACAAATACTAGCTGGTTGAGGCCTATTTAACAACGTGGGCTTGTTTCAAACAATTTCCAATTTGAGCCCATGGCATGGCCCAATAGAGCCACTAAAGCTCCTCATAAACCCAAAATCAGATACGTTGTTATCCTTCCTAACGTTCACCACAACCTGTTCAACTTGTCCTTCGCGCGTGCCGATATCCCTTACGAAGCCACAATCTGCGAAAGTATCATTAACCACTGAAATCGAGTTCCCATGGTCTGACGCCACCAAAATCGAGTTCCCATGCCGCTTTTGGTCCACCGCAACAGTGTGTTCCACCTCCTCGAGCGAGTTCCCATGCTGCTTTTGGTCCACCGTAGCAGTGTGTTCCACCTCCTCGATTCTGTCATCTTGTTGATGGTTAACTCCGGCAATTGAACTCTCTGACCGGGAAGGTGAAGAGATGTTCAACCCCCATTTCTGGCGCAACTCCCATTCAAAATCTACGCTGTTACTTCTTTCCCCCACCGAAACCTTGAAAGTTCTCTTATTGCACTCAACCTCTACAGATGAGTTAATTGCTTCCATGGACCTAGTATGAACCATTACTTTGCCACAGTTAAGAGATTTTGAATCCACAAGGTTATCCTCCAATCCGATGATTTCCCCCCATAATGACCCAATACTTTGACATGTGCTAGTGTTCCATGCATGGAAAGGTATACCATAACAGTGCAACCAAACTAGCCTTGAAGACTCCATAGGCAAATCTTCATCCCACAATCTTATATTGTCACAGAGATCTTGAATGAGGTCTGCCACCAAACTAAACTTCTGGTGCAATATCTCTTCTGCTGGAAAAGTTAATAGAATTAAATTACCACCCCCAAATCGGAAATGAATTTCTTGCATACTGTTATTCCAGATTAAACTCTGCAACTTCCCTAGCATCAACATACTCTTGATACATACCACCATACATCTCTGTAACCATTCACTGCCTTCGTCTGAAATTGCCACTTTTAACAACTTACTGGCATCACCCCCCCCCGGCCGGTTCCTTCACAATGTCCGCATACGATTTTGTTCCTCTGCATGTACTCACCCCGATGCCTTTAAGAACAGGCACATTGGATGCATTTGGTTTACTGCCATCCCCTGCTGCACACTCCACTCTTTGACTGGTCTCATGAACTACACCAGACACAGTTTTGTGATATCTCTTCCCATTATCATAATCTGCAAACTTTACCTGCAGTTGTTTATTGCCACACCAGACCCATTTGCCTTCTGGATCGCCATCTTTGCTTCCACCACACACTCGTAACGAACAAACCCAAATCTTGCTCCCACTTTGCTTCTCTTAAATGATATGAAAACATGCTTCACCACTCCAAACTTAGAGAACATAGTAAACATGCCTTTAGGATCCATATCATATGGAAGGTTGTCGCCAAAAATTGAAAACAGCTTCAAGCCTGGACCACTTCGTCTGTGACCAGCAGCTCTCCCTCTGTAGAACACCGGTTGCCAACCCTCTTCAAATCTCCTACCATCAGCTTTTCCAACTTGCCCCTCCATTTCATTAGGAAACTGGTCTACTTCCCCTTTTTCCCCTTCCCTTTACCACCACTCTCTCTCTCTATCGGGCTTTTCTCTGTTTATTGGTTAGCTTTGAAGTGACGATGATGATCTCTCTCTCTTTTCTGCATGTCGATTCTGGAAGTGCAATTTACAGCTGAAGTGACAAATGTACTATGGGAATTAGCGTACAAATGAGGGTAGTCTGTGAAGTGATAAGTATACTACACGCAAAAGCGATTTAACACTACTCAACATGTGAGATAAAAATAAAAATAAAATAAACAAATAAATAAATAAATAAATCAATTTTGAAACTAAAGAAAGAATTCAACAATTGAATCCACTGCCCTAAATCATCTTGTTGAGCCCAAAATATATGTGATTCCTGCTAAAGGAAAAAATCCACTTATCCATCTTTTTATTGGAAAAAAAATCCCAAACAAGTAGAAGCCATAAAATAATTAACATTTCATTGAATTTACATTATTATTATTATTATTTTATGAACATGCAAAATCTGGTAGTCCATGGTTAAATTGATTTTACACCTAATCCTACATTTCTAAACTGATAAGAATAGAATTCCTACATTCCTAAACTGATATTAAGAGGTTGTTTGGGATGTCCTAAATAAGTGCACTTTTTAATTTTTTTGACTAAAAAGTTGATGAAAAAAATATGGTTGTTTAGGTTAACTTTTTGACTTTTTATGAAAAAATGTGTATTAAAAAATTATATAAATTAGTGTGTAGAGGAAAATTAGGATTGAAAGTTGTACAGCCGTATTTTTTGACTTTTGGTGAATAGTGATAACTTTTTAACTTTTTGAGTAACTTTTTGGCTTTTTGAATTTTTTTCAACTTGCCAAACTTCGCCTAAGAATAGAATTTTATTTTATTTTATTTTTTATTTTTTATTTTTTATTTTTTTGATCAAGAAAAGATTCAATTACACAGAATTGAGCTAAAGGCACCCAACAAAAGCCATAGGAGGCTGGGAAACCCAATTAACAGGCAAGGTATCATGCAAACAAGCGGAAGCCATCCAATGTGCAGCCCTGTTCCTAACTCTGGGGCACCATTTAAAAGCCAAACCCCCGCTGCTGGCCATTGACCGAATATCATTCATCACAGCACAAATATCCCACGGAGGAACCCCCTCTGACACACACTGTTGAATGACATTTTTGCAATCACTCTCAGTCTCCACATTTGCACAATTAAGAGCACGGGCCATGGTGCAAGCAAGTTGCACTACAGATGCTTCACCTTGTATTGCTGTTGCCAACCGAATTTTTGCAGCGATGATGGCCGTTCTCGTCCCTAACAAGTACTGCAACAGCCCCCTTGCCTCTGCTCAAGTCAGTTGCCGCATCGCAATTAAATTTCCATTTCCCCCTTGAAGGAGGAACCCAATGAGGCTCATGACCATGTGCCGCTGCTGCTGTTTCCACAAAGGCAGAGTCCACCTCGCAAGCCCCCAAAAATTCAGCTTCCTCTCTTTTAGCCTTAGCAATCACCTCGATTGGATTCACAGGGCATTGGTTGAAAAGGTAATCATTTCTCGCCTTCCAAATGCACCAAGCCACCCAAACCATTAAGTAGATCACTGTCCTGCCCCAACTCACTGCACCCAAGGATGCAAAGAGATTACCAAACCAAGACCAAACCGTTCCCAAGTTAAGTTCATCACATCTGAAGCCCAGCCCACTGCCAAACCAGACTCCTTTAGCCCATTCACATTCAACTAAAAGGTGTTCCACTGACTCCACAACTGATAGACACACAGGGCAATGAGCGGAATTGGCACACCGCCTACGCCATAAATTTTGTTTTGTTGCCAAGGTGTTACGATAAATCCTCCACAAGTAGTGTTTGAGTTTTGGAGACAAATTCAAATTCCATGCAAACTTCCATTCCTTCTCAAACCAATCTGAAGAAGAGCAGGGTAAATTAATCCCTACAGAAGCTTGCTTCACTACTTCTTGATAGCTGATTTGACTGTGTAACAGCCCATCGAGTCATGGTGCCACACAATAGTGTCATTTCCTTCCATCACTGCAACCGGGATTGAGAGGATGGCATCACAATCCTTATCCGCAACCAGAGTTCTAATTTTTGCCTCATTCCATGTTTTACGAACGGGAGCAATCACCTCACTCACCTTCTACACTATTGGAATGTGTCTCACATCGCTTAGAGTTGCCCCATTTGTGCTGGTTATAAGGCACCAGTTTTCCTCTCCTTAATACCTAGGTTTTAAGGAGAAGTGTGAGTTGGGCTTTTCAATTTGGTATTAGAGCTTTGTTGGGCTTGTGATTGGTGTGCCGTTTGTTTGGCTACTGTATATTATGATCCAAGAGGGTGTGTTAAAATGTGTCCCACATCGCCTGTAGTTGCCCCATCTGTGCTAGTTTTAAGGCTCCAGTTTTCTTCTCTTTAATACCTGGGTTTTAAGGAGAAGTGTGGGCTGAGCTTTCAATTTGCACCTTTGCCGCAATGTTCCTTGCCGTTTGGACTTTAAACCCCGGATTTGAAGGGATCCATCAATCCTCCCAAAAATTAATCGATTTGCCGTTTAAAGCTTGCCACTGAAGCCCACTATTAAGAACTTCTCTACCTTGCAGCAAGCTTGCCCATGCCTGCGAGGGTCGCAACCCCCTAGCTGCATGATAAAAATCTGAGTTGGGGTAGTGGATTCCTTTCATAATTTTTGCATATAAGGAGTCCGGATATTTTATTAATCTCCATCCTTGGCGAGCAAGGAGTGCTCTATTAAAAGCTCGAAAATCCTAGAAGCCCAAACCACCATTTTTCCTAATCAAGCACAACCTACTTCTGCTGGCCCATTGAATTCCACCCTCCTCGGGATCACCTTTCCACCATAAATTCCTTATCTATCACAAAGCTTATTGGGAAATATGAAATTTTCCATCGCATAAGTTGGCATCGCCTGGGCCACAGATTTAATTAGAACTTCACGACTCGCTTGGGAAAGTAACTTAGGCTTCCATACTTGCAACTTAGATAAAACCTTTTCGCATAAAAAATTAAAAGCTTCAGCCTTGGAGAGGCCCCAACATGATGGCAGCCCCAAATATCTCATATCTCACACTTGCCTTCATTTTTGGAATCCCTAACATCCCACAGATCTTCAATTGCCGAGAGGGAGAAACATAGCTTGAGAATTGTACCCCCAATTTATCAAAATTCACAGATTGCCCTAAAGCATCACCGTAAATTTTCAGTAATCTACCAACCTCCTGACACTCTTCAGCATTTGCCTTAAAAATAGCACTGCATCATCCACAAAAAACAGATGCAAGAGGGTAGGACACCCCCTCCGTATCTGTAATCCAGAAATTTTCCCCTCTTGCACGCTTCGAGCAATCAATCTCGAGAATACATCAATACCGAGAATAAACATATAGGGAGACA